TTTATTAATTGACTAATCCTTCTTGATTCTCTTTCCTTTCTCAGTTTATAGGCTAGCCATCTGCCTGGTTTATTTGCATCTTCAAAGTAATTCTGTTTAGCATTTTTAATTTTTTGTGCTAGTTCCTCTTTTTCCATTAGTCCCATTTTATGTTTAATTATATCCATTTTATTTTTAATGTCTTTTTTTGCGGGAACTTCTGTAGATCTTTTTCCAATCTTTTATAATTATCCTCCAATGTTTTGAAAGTCTTTTTCTGTTTTATATTTCTTTTCCTTGTATAGTCTATTATCAAGCCTCTTGTGTAGGCCTTCATCATGTCCCAGAGGTTCTGTAGAAATGTACCCTCTTTTCTATTTTCTTTAAAAAAGAAAACAAGTTCTTTCTGTATTTTCTGTTTAAAGCCTTTTTCTTTTAATATCATGTTATTTAGGGTCCATCTAGATCTCCTCTTATATCCTTTTCAAATAACTGTCACTGAATTATGGTCTGCCCAGGTGCTTGTTTCTATTTCAACCTCTCGTATGTTAACCAGTAATTATGCTGACATCCATATCATGTCTATTCTAGACCATGATGCATGCCTATTTGAGTAAAAAGTGTACTGCTTACTTTCTACATTTCTCTCTCTCCATGCATCTTTTAAGTTAAATTCTTCTGTTTTTTGAAAGAAAGATTTTGGTAGTATCTTTCTAGCTTTCTTTGTTGATTTCTGCATTTTATAGTACAACCGATCATTAACTATTCCATTAAGATCTCCCATCATACAAATATTAACATAGTCCACTTCAATTATTTTCATATGTAATTTCCTATAAAATTCTTCTTAGTTATCATTCAGAGCAGAAATTGCAATTAAAAGTGTTTTAACATTATTATCCATTATTTCCACCATCAAAATCCTTTCATCGTCATGTGTGTAAATTAATTCTGCCAAAATTGTGTCTTTAATATATAATACCACACCCCTTTTTTAAGATTGCACCAGCGATGTAAATAGTTTCCCTAATTTTTTTTGTTTCAATATATATTCATGTTGTTTTTTGATATGTACTTTTTGTAGGCAAATTATATCAAACTTTAATTTTTCTAATTTGTGAAATACTTTCCTTCTTTTAGTGGCAAATTAAGCCCATTTATATCAATCGTAATCAATTTTCTTTTATCCATGTTAGGCTTTGTGACGGGGTTTTATTGCTCTAGTAGGTCTTAATTCTCGTTGCTCTCTGGGTACACCACCTACTGCAACTTCTTCTTCTTTTTTTTTTTCAATTACTGCTATACACTCCTCTTGGAATTCAATTAATGATTCTTCCTTTCTTGCTTCTTCCTCCTTTCCTCTAAAATATTCTAAGTAGAATTGCTCAGCTTTTTCAACTGTGTCAGTTCTGTGTCTTTGTTCCTTCCAGGTGAACAAGAGGACTTCTGGCATCAACCACCTGTAGTTTACTCCTCTTTTAAGTAACTCTTTGGTCAAAAATAAGTATTCTCTTCTCATCTCTTTTACTCTTCTTGGTACCTGTTTCAGCACCACAATTTCTTTGTCTTTATACTTCAAAGTTTTCTCTCTTGCCACCTGCAGTATCTGTGTCTTGATAATCTTTTTAGTCAAATCTGACGTGAACTTATCTTGGTAGTCTGTTTCTCATTGCATATCTTGTATAGACACGCAACACTTTATCCATCCCATCCATCATCTTTTCTTTAGTTATCTCTAATGCTTCTGCCAGTATTTCTGTCATTATTTCAGCAAGATTTTCACCTTTTCCTTCTTCTACATTTTGAAATCTTAAGTGGAATTCTGATCTATCAATTTCCCATCCTAATGGTTCACACCTGCCCTTCTCAACATCACTTAATTGGGTATCATTATCTCCAATTTTCTTGTCTTCATATTTCATCATCATCTGTTGAATATTTTCTACTTTCTCATCTTTCTTTTCAGTTCTTTGCTCAATATTCTCCATTCTCTTTTCAATCTTCTGAATTCCTTACATAATCATCTGTAATGACACTTCCTTCTCTTTCTCCTGTTGTAAGATTGTCTTATTGACCCTTGTCCTCCAGATGGTGAAGAGGCTATTGGTATTGAGGAAGCTGGGGCTGTTGTCTTTCTGCTCATCTTGTAGTACTTATCTGTGAAGAAAGAAAGAGAAAAAAGAGAAACGGAAAAAGAAAAAAGAAAAAAAGAGTACAGGCAGGCAATTGCCACTCCAAAAAGTAAAAAGGGAAAAAGAAAAATCTTCAGGCACTTGTATACCTTAGTCCAATTATTTCTCTTAATAAGAAGGACAAAAGGAAGAGGGCAAAAAAAGTAAAAAAAAAATACATTCTAGTTCCTGGAATAGAAGGTTGAAATCCAAATATAAAAATCCAACTGGAGGAGAAGTAAAAAAGGAGGTGAAAAATAATTTAATGTGAAGCCAGCCACTGACACTGAGTATCCAAGGCTCTTTAATAAATCAACTCAAAGTTTCTAGTTCCATTATTTTCAAGGTCACTTCAATCTTCTTTCTTTCAACTTCAACTCCAGACTCTAGTTATCTATAGTTTCACAGATAGGCACCTGCGTAAATAATCTGCCATGCCTATCCCACTATCTTTTCCAGTGCAAAGCTCAGTCCTTGAGTATAGCACAAGTACATAAACAAATAGAAGAAAAAAGAAACAATATATCCAAGCCTCTAGATGGCAGTGCTACTTTTTTTCCTTCACTTTCACTCCCCCCTCATGTATCCAGTGCCAGGAACAAAAAGAGAAAATGAAATCTTTCCTTTTGAAAAAAAGAATAAATCTCAAATCAAAAAGAAGAGTCTTAATCAAAACAGACTTTCAAAAAATTGTTAAGAAAATAAAAATAAAAAAATAGAAAATTTAAAAGAAACCAGTCCAGTTTAAAATTAAGGAGCGTTACCAAATTCAAGTTCCAATAAAAAGGGGAAAAAACTTTCACTTTAACTAGCTTAATTTCACCGCTTAAACTCTTTTCTCTTTACTTTTAATTTCACTTTAAATATTTCAGGATGTTCTCTTTGAAAAATAATAAGTAAAAGTTCATCTCACCAAACTGACACACTTTCTTTCAATCTCTTCCGTTCCGGAGCTGTCCCAGCTTCAGCAGCTTGAATGGCTGCTTCTCCGCTGCTGGCAAAAGGGCTCTTCCTGGATCAACCAGGGACTTTGCAATGTCCCTGGGATCAACAGGACATGCCCTTATCGATCACTATCTCTATGGGATGGTTTAGGTCCGTCGGGACCGTCCAACAGGGCGGTGATCTTGGAGGATCAAGATCACGCATCGTACTGCTGCGACGCCAGCTCCGCCCTCTCCCTCGTACTTGGTAGTTCCTTCTAAAGTAGAATAATATTAAGATACTCAACAAAGATAGAGTATTATTCAATGTTTGTACATTAATTTGGAACAATATGAAAAATTGTATAAAGAACCCACACTAAAATCAAACATAGAGACTCCAAAATCTACATTCTTTTTCATATTTTTGTTAACTGAAAGTATTTTTATAACTCAAAGTGATGAAGAGTGCTAAACAAACATCAAAATACCACAAAATTGGGACACAGAAGGAATGGAAATACAGCAAGCAGCAATTTCTGTAAAATTATAGAGGTTGCTTGAAAACTCGTTAAAGGTAGTAGTTTTGTCTATCTATCTAAACTATATGTGGTTACACCCTTCTCCCAAACTGTATATTTCATCATAGAACTGAACAAAAGGAAATCTTACATTCTTTTTCTTTTGCCAATTTTGTATTCATTCTTTTTCCAATCCTGTGGTGTGTGTGTGTGTGTGTGTGTGTGTTTGCTCCTATTTCTAAAAAGAAAAAAATATAAGACTTAAATATCTATCATCTAAGGTACTCAAATTGTTATCTAGATTAGCTATTTTAAGTTTTCAGGAGATATCAAAAAGCTATTCTTTTTCTTTGTTTCTCTTTCCCACAGATAACTTTGGGACTTGTAAAGAAAACTGATGAAAATAATGTAGAAATAACTATTTAAAATATATTATTTCAGAGGGGAAAATCTCAGCAAGAATATATCAATGGCCTCCTTAGCATCAGTATTTAGAAATGCTTATGTACTGTCCTAAAACATTTATGTATTCCTAAAGTATATTTCTAAATTAAACTATATGGCTACATATACAGGAACCAAAGCTTCGATTTTCCAATATATAGAGTATTTCAAAAAGTACCAAAGAGACATTTTTTTAAAAAAATATCTTTATTATTCTTAAATAGTAAAAGCTAGTCCCAGTTTTTAGACATCATATATGATTAACTAATAATATTTTTTTAAAAAATGTTTGTTTTAGATGATGTTATACTTGTTCCAACATAGAAAATATATTAGCTCCAATGCCAGCAAAATGGAAGGTATGCCTTTGCTAAATTAGCACTATATTTCCAATGAATTGTAATTCAATAATTATAAGCTGGCATTAAAAAAATGTCTTTGTAAAGCAGAGTAATTCTGACACATGGTGAATACTAATCTCCTATGGCTACCAAACAGGAATAACTACTGTGGTGCAGTGGAAGAATTTCACATTAAGAAAGAAAAGATTCAAATACCATATTTAGTTTATTATTTAGTTTATTGACCAGCTAAAATAGTCTCTATCTTTTAGTTTAACTTACTGGGGTGATAAAATAAGTGGAAAAAATTACACTATTGGGTATCCTCTTCCATTCATCACTTTTTAGTCAAAGAAACAAGTTGTTAAGTTTAATAAGTCTGGCTTAAAATTAGAAAATGTATGCAGTTATAGTATTGTAATGCGCATGCACACACATATTGTTGTTGTTAGTTGCAAAGTCATGTCTCACCCATCATGACCTCCAGGCCTTCCTATCCTTTACCATGCCCCAAAGTCCGTTTAAGCTCAACACACATAAATAAAACAGCCAATAAATTAATTATACTCTTCATTGTTAGAAAAAGACCTGTGATAGGTGAAATACTATTTTTTTACTTACCAGTAGAATCTATTTGGGGTTATGGATTCTTGTAGAAGTAGCCATCTTCTTCCAAATTCAACTGAACTGTACAACTAAGAAGAAATGTTAAAAGAAATACAGTGTTTTAATCTTCTGCCAAACATTCATCCTGTTTTAATTCTCTTAAAGCTTTATGATGTGAATGATTACCTAGATTGTTTTTAAATCTCAGTCTCCTTTTATCACACCTTCCAAGAAGGTTTACAAAATATTCTCTAAAGAAGTGCTCTTGATAATTCAAAAATATGCTCTATAATATATTTCTTTTTAATTATCTCCTCTCAACGTTACCTGTCTAATGTGAAAAAGTGTGCAGCAACAATTCTGTCCAAATCAGAAATGATTTGCTCTACCATGAGATGACAAAATACACTGATTGTTGTTATAGGTTTGTTTTAGAATGGGTCAATCACTCAAACAAATGTCCTTGTTATATCTGACATAGATTTAACAATGGGACAGTAGGACACAATTTTTCTATCTGCAACTTCTTCCATTTTACCCTAGATTCACCAAAATGTTATTTCTTGAAAACTGAGTGGTGTTTTTTTTAATGTCTCACTTCCATGTCTTTTAGAAAGTCTTTGGAATTTGAAGTGATGGAAGTTGTCAATAGGGTTATATTATTGGAAGACAGTTGCTGTTCCCTGAGGGCATTTTTCTTTGGAATATAACTGCAAGCTGAGAAACATTGGGAAGGAAACATACAAAGAAAATCAGATTACAGGTAGTCCTCGACATACAACAGTTCATTTAGTGACTGTTCAAAGTTACAATAGCACTGAAAAAAGTGACCGATGTCCATTTTTCACATTTATAACCATATCAGCATCCCCAGGGTCATGAGATTTACATTTGGATGCTTGACAACTAACTCACGTTTATGACAATTGCAGTTTCCCAGAGTTATGTAATCCTATTGTTGCGACCTTCTAACAAGCAAAGTCAGTGATGAAACCAGATTCAGTTAACTACCATGTTTTTAATTTAATTTAATTTAATTTAATTTAATTTAATTTAATTTAATTAATTTAATTTAATTTAGAATTGCAGTGATTCACTTGACAAATGTGGTGAGAAAAATCATAAAATGAACAAATTTTTCACTTAGCAACATAAGTTTTGGGCTCAATTGTGGTCATAAGCTGAGGACTACTTGTACTCGTAGAACTACATCTCCCATCGATAATAAATTTAGATTATTATTATTATTTGCTTTAAGAAAAATTTTTTTTAAGTTATTAACTGAGAAGAACTGGGGAGAATGCTGAATAATTTCAGGCTTGGTTTGGTCCTTAACTAACAATATATTTCTCCAATTTTTATCTTTTTTACTTTAGCAAGTATACCTGCACCACATAGCTGTTCCTATCACATTATCCAGATTCCTTTAATCATGATAACAGAATCCTACAGCTACTATGTCTGATGTCACATCCTGCTGATTTCTCAGTTGTGACAGCTGGTGATGTCAGTACAACCCTTTACTTCTTGGGGGGAAATAACCAGCTGTAAAATGAAAGCGAAGAAAGGTAGGGATAACTCCAACTGAGTAAATCCCAGAATAGTGAACTTCATTAGCCACCATTCATCTGGGAATGTTTTTGCTGAGTTGACCAAAACCTCTTGTTTAAAGAATGGGTTCTACTGTGGGGAATGACCCAGTTAACAATGTGCTGTCAACCATGCTAATTATATAACTTAATGCAGAAGAAATCTCAATTTCCTTATGTTCAGAAGATAAATGCAAGAGACTATGGGCAACAGGAATAAAAATAATTGACAGTACTGTCACAATGAAAAGACTTTAAAGTTTCAACAATACAGAATTCTGTAAACCTGGAAATTTGGATCTTAATCTGTGTCAGATACAAATGATAGAATACTTGGCCAGAAAGAATTGCTTTACATTTTTCAGCAGCTTTCTCAGAAGGTTTGGAAGAGACTCTATAACAGATTATCTTTATAGTTGGATCAAGTTGACAATGAGCTCCTGTAATGGGATTTCAATTGTCCTGATTTTTCATTTGCTGGGGAAAAGCAGACAAGTCAGCTGCAATTAAGCAGGAAGAAAGGAAGAAGTGACCTATTGATCACCACTAAAAATGACTCTGTAGAAACACAATGAACTTAAAATGATAGAATGTATTTATTTATTAATCAAATTTATCTCTCGCAGTTATGTTGTTACCTTCATGGACAATGAAACACTTGCATGCAAACAATCAAGCTCTGAGAGCATCAAGAACTCCACAGTTCAATCCTGAACCACATATATTCACTTATATAGGAACTTTTATTTTAAATTTGGTGGCGGGAATAAAAAGGAGTTAAACTAATAAAAATAGGGATGATAAAAAACTGCAACTAAATATCAAACAATGACAAGCAAAGAATAGAATGATCTACTCCAAGGGTTAGGGTTAGGGTTTTATGAAGATGAAAAATACTCACTGATTGCTTACTCATATCAATGTGAGAAAAAGCCCATTATAACACTGGAAAGAAATGTGTTCTAATATTTGAGACTGCAAAGCCAGAAAGTCCACTGAATTAACAAATTGTCTTCAAAACTATCCAAATGAATTGGAGGCACTGGATTTGATCTGATATCTCCAATCATTTTGGAAATATGATTCAAATATTGAATCTGAATTGAATCATTCCTTAGAATATTTGCATTATCCAAGAATCCCATCACATCCAACCAGATTCTATGAGAAGCCCCTATTTTATTTTCTTCTTTTAGGCTTTATGCTTTCAGTTATCAGAAAGACGCAATGCATATTAGACAACCACAGCAAAATAATGGATACTTTGTTGGATTCACATATGATTGTGGGTAAATGCTCTATTCAAATGGTATTCAAACTGTATTTATAAAAAAAGTACCAAATATTGAAATGGCTATGAAACAGAATTGTATGTCAGGTTAAATCTACTCAACCTTCACAAATTTGACCTTAACTAAGACATCAGATAAATAAAAAGTTTTAACAGGGAGTTTTTGTCAAACATTTGCTGGGGAATCATATTATTGTGACTAGGCAGAAAATTGGTTGAATGGAAATAATTTATTTATTTATTTATTTATTTATTTATTTGCCAATTGTTTACAAGATAATAAGTATAAGTGTATACATAGTTGTGAATACATGAAATGGGTACATATAAGAAAAATAAAATAAGAATAAGAGAAACAATAGGACAGGGACGGTAGGCACGTTGGTGCACTTATGCACGCCCCCTACAGACCTCTTAGGAAAGGGGTGAGGTCAATAGTAGACAGTCTAAGGTTAAAGTTTTTGAGGTTTGGGGAAAAAAACCACAGAGTCAGGTAGAGTATTCCAGACATTGACCATTCTGTTGCTGAAGTCGTATTTCCTGCAATCAAGTTTGGTGCGATTAACCTTGAGTTTGTATCTATTGTTTGCTCTTGTGTTGTTATGGTTGAAGCTGAAGTATTCATTGACTGGTAGGACATTGCAATGTATTTTATATACTATACTTAGATCGGACCAAAGGCGGCGTAGTTCTAGGAAGTTGGCAATTCTTCACTGTTTGATTAAATTGCAGAATATGCATGCTAGAAACAAAAACTATTTCACTATTGATGGGCAAGTTTCTTTTCTTTTCCTTCAAATATAAAAAATAGGTGTTACACAGAGCATAGACTGAATTAACACCTCAAGATCTTGTCTTCCGTGGAATCACCTATTCCCCCCCATCTTCCCCCCCCCAGTATTATGGGAAAATGTATGACAACTATTTATCTATGCACAGATAATCTGTATCCTTCGTTATTCTAAACTGCATTTGTACCATAATATTACATACCACTATAAATTCATGTTTGTTATTCTAGAGGTGTACAAAGTATGGGCATGAAATAGTTTGAGCTACGAAAGTCATCAATCAGAGGTTGATGACATTTCTACTATTATATTACTTTGAGCTGTGACAGTGAAATGAATGAGATTTTTATGAGATCTTGCATTTATTTCCAAAGATCCATGCAGGAGAATTATTCATTGGTTGTCACCAATTTAAAGATTGTGAAAAGGAGCAGAAGGAGAGAACAATTTGGAAAGGAACAGGTGAAAAATGTCACATGGAAGTATGCAATTATTATGTTGAGATTTTGTGTACCAATGTAACAGTCTACATTGATTTAGAAAGATGGAATATTTCATTGGTATATTTCTTATGATATGAGAACACCCTCTGGTTTTGAAGTAGACACTCATCTTAAATTTAGAGGGAAACTACTTGGATACTCTTTGAAAAATGTAAAAAATAAGATTAGGAAAAAGGAATTTCAAAGTGAAAGAGTACACAATTATACTACTGAGCACAGATAGACATGCAGACACAGTCCTTCTTTGGACAGAGAAGATGGCTAAATGATTTTAGGTGAGTTACTGTTTCTTAGTCTCAGTCAAATGAAGCTAAAAATATACCTATCCACCAACCTGAATTGGATCAGGATGGTTGATTTCAGGTAATAAGCCTTCATTTAAGTGCATGTGTACATATGAGTATGTGTGTGAGTAATTTCATTATTGTCCTGTTTTATTAAACAAATAAAGGTTAAAAATAATTGATAGAAGTGTTTTGAAAGATGTACAAAGATGTGTGTGTGTATGTGTGTGTAATCAATTTAAAGATGTAGCAGTAGAAAGGGCATATCTTTAAAAAATAAATCACTGGTTTAAAACAAATTACCTTTGATTTTTAAGTGGTAAGCAAGCAGGCAATGATTACAAAAGTTCCCATAAGAGATTGTTGCTTAATATTCAAGGTATCTTGGGAGCATTCACCTGGCCAAACCTCAGGGTAATTTTCTGAGTTTTCATGCATATCCATGAGCAAACTGTTTTGTGGTAGTTCTTTAGTTCCATCAGGTGAATAATTCAACCATGAAGGTATTCAGGTGATCATCATCATCTCCTTCCCCAGCTTAGAGCAAGGCCAATATTTCAAAAAGACACTGAAATAACTTTCTCAGATTGTGTGATGATGCTCTAATACCTTACAATTTTGAAAAAAAATAAATATAGTATACTAAACTATAATTTTATATTTCTGATGCTAGGCTTTTGGTAACTTCTTTTAGGCAAGATTTTTTTAAATGTGAAAGATTTTTTAAAATACAATAGTACTTTAAAAATACGCTGTAATGAGAACAACGACAAAGAAAACTACTAACCTTCATTTTATTTGAAATGACATAAGTGCATACCACAAACTATATATACTATAGACAGTAACTATAAATATATAGTCAGAACCAAATAAACATGACAGTAACCCTAAAAAAAATGATAAAAAGGAAAAAAGAAGAAAAAAGGGGAAAGAAAAATGAAAACCAGAAAAAGTTACAAAAGCCTAGCATCAGAAATAAAAGAACAACAAAAATCTAGATCAGACGTTTGATTACTGAGAAATATTTTCTTTAAAGTGATAATTGTGCAAAAACATGATTGTAGTTATATCTTTGAGGTACAGTTGAAGATTAGGGAGCACAAATAACCTGAAAGTTTGATCTTTCAGATTGAGAAAAACATCTTCCCAATTTTCAGTTTCTACCTAACTTTTTTGCTGATGAATAGCATTTATATTCTGTTACATCCCTTCCCTTCATTCAATCAGAGTAGATCAAGAGCAGGACATATATCAGTGAGATAAAATCCAGAGTGAGGTGTTCTTTCTTCAGGATCAAAACAAATGTAAAGCTTACTTTCTATCTTATGTTCCTTCCTTTCTAAAATGTAGAAGATGGCCATTAAAAAAGTCCAAATATATATTTCATGTATAAAACAAATTCTTTGCAGGCTAGTCATACTCTAGTTCAGGGCTGTCAAATTCCTGGCCTGCAAGCCAAATATGTCATGCACTGGCCACGCCCATGTCCAGTTTAGTGAAGGGGGGGAAACTCCCAATTCTTCACGTGACACTGCTGTGACAATGTGAGTTTGACACTCCTCCTCTAGTTCTTTCTGAAATGGCCACTTGATCATGTGATAATTATACCTTCAAATGATCAAACTTGGATATAATAAGTTACAAAGAAATTTCATCACAAAGCAATCAGTAGTGTGCTGTTTTCTTTAACAATTACAACAATTGAAAGAGAGCCCAAAAGTTTATATGTGACATCATTTGTGCTTTTAAAAATAATATATTTCATTTCTCCATCCTGACATATTTCTTCATATAAAAATCCTTTGAAAAATATACCGGATTGTCTTCAATTGGTCAGCAAATGGTGACCATTTGACTATACTGTTTATTTTTATTCTATACTTCTTCCCCTTTATCTACCTATAATGAACTTTAGGTACAGTTCAATATTTTCCCCTTAAAGTTAGGTGAAAGAGAACAAGCAAACTGAGTGACTTCAGATGGTATTTTGGCAGGTTCATAGCCATCTCTTGCTTATTTCTCAGTGATAGTCAGATATTAACTTTGAACCTGGCAGTTCATTATCAGCTGAGATCTAATAATGTTTTTTCTGGAATTTGTCTAATCATTTTTATAGATTAAGTACATATGTACTTATCACCGCCACTGCCATAACAGGTTACGAAATAGAGGAACTGATTTTCTCCCATGCAAGCATAAATGGAAGTAGCAAGGGGTCAATTCTATGGTTATTATCCACAGAACTTGGACAGACTACCACATGGAAGTCTATTTGACAGAATAATTGAAAAACACTTTCATTGGATATCTATGGAATATGGCTTTATGAAAACTAAGGAATAAATTCCCAATGGTGTTTCTCAGTGACATTAATGGTAGATTTTTGTTTCCATGTTTTTAGTTTTGATGCTGTTCAATCCAACAGACTGGACCACTTACAGAGTAAAAACAATGACATACAATAATTGAAACCTGAACAAATTGCAAAATAACTGCAAAATAATTATAAGATAATTACAAGATAATTACAAGATGGTAATCCAGACAATTACCATCTAAAGATATAAAACATCACAAATAGGAGCATCTCAACACAACCTGGAAAGGTTTTCAAGGTCTTACAGAATGCCCTCAAATGCCATATGGATCTTTTCATTTCACTATCTTGTAAAATACAAGAGTGATTTTTATAACTGTCATATATAGAAATATATGTTTCTTTTGTTGTTAGTAAAATAAATTCAAAATTATTATGTTTACTTTGACATTTTTATTTTTCCTTTGGCAATTTTGTCTCCTCCCCTTCATTTAATCTTTCTTTTCACCTTTGAACTCTGCCATATTTATAAAATGAGCTATTTGCTGAAAACTTATGAGAAGAAACTGAGTATTTCTTTCATTTTTGTCCTCGCAAAATTGCTCATAAACCTTGTTTGGAAAGAAAGGGATAGAAATAAATTTGATACTTGGGGACAGCCAATTTGAAAAGTGCCTATTTTTCTTACAGTAAAGCCAATTTGTTCATGCTCAGATATTTTGCCCTGCTATATGACAGAAAGCTTTTTTTTAGGGTGGTGTTTCAAAATTCTAATAGAATTGACTTGATTTAAACCTTCTAGAGCAGGGTTGTCAAACTCCCAGCCAACCAGCCAGATGTGTCACGCACTAGCCACACCCATGCCCAATTTAGCAAAGGGGGAAAATGTCCAGATACATCATGTGACATTGCTGTGATGACGTGAGTTTGATACCCCTGTTCTAGAGTAAACTAATTCAGTTAACCAGCAGGATTTCTACCTCTGAATATTCAAATATTTTGGATGATACTGATGACCTTTGCCAGTTCTACATTCTTCAAATATTTGAGTCAAATATTATGATAAATCAGCTTACATTATTTTATTAAATGATCTGAAGACATAGAGAACTAAATGCCTACATTACCTACACAAGTATGTGAATTATTTTCCATGTTGTCAGGAAAAGAAGCCTGGTGCAAAACTCTTCCTTAATCAATCTGTGGCTAAAGGAAATACTCGAAGACTAAAGACAGGCTGGGATAAATTTGTTTTACCTGAGGTAAAACAAATATCAGTGCTGCTAATTTCCACTACTGCTTTCTTATCATTTTAATTCGCCTGCCTACTAGCCTTTTCATTGGCCTAATTGCCAGTCATTTGACATTCTTCCATTCATCTATTTTATCTACCCTCCACATTCAACATAGTGTAGGTGTCTCACTTACAAAGTAATTCAGGGCAGGGATGGACAACCAATGGCAACCTACAGATGGCATTTAACAATTTCTGGAACCAAAAGGTAAAGTGATGATGCAAAATGGCTGAAATCAGGATTTTCTCGCTCTTGTCATTTTTCTGGGAAGAATTTTGAAGTTTTTGTTTCATAAATCATCATAGTTTCTACAAAGTGCTTGAAATTATAATTGGGTATCTTTCCCTTCCCCAAAATCATAAGAAACTCTGCTCTCAAATCATGGTTTAGGAGACATGTAACCCTCTTCCCCCCAAAAAGGGAGTTGGAAGCAATACAGAAGTATTGCTTGCCATTCCAGGTCTCCAGGTTGCCTACTTCTACGTTAAAAGATAGACATTTAACATGATATACATTCTAGAAAAATTATGTACTACCTATCCTGCAAAGACATATTGAGCAAAGCATAAACCAACTTCCATGTTTACTCTAGGGCTTCTTCAATTAATGAGGAATTGACCAGGTAAGACTCTCTGGAATGATGAGTTGCCTTGATTTCCAGAGCTTTATGCCTATTCCAATTCGAATGTGACACAAGAACAAAATAATTAAATACGTGAATGGATACTAACTGCATTGATTTAATTAGATGTAGAAGTTAAAGAAATTAAATAAGTTTTGATTCTTCTACTTTTTAGACTTACAAATCTAATGTATTCTTCAATATATGTTGAGCACTTGGTTATTTTATGGAGCAGTTAGAGGAAGTAAATGTCAGGTATATCCTTTGAATCTCCTGTCTTTCCTGATATGCAAGCTGTTAACTGACACTTTATTCTGTCCAGTAATAGATTTAGCCCTAGTAGAGCATAAAAGTAATATTAACCTTCTGATCCTGACTGTACGCCAAAATCCAGTCCTCCTGCTTGGGATGAAAGAGCATGCTATGGATGTAGAAGTTCAACCGGTATTTTTGATAGGTGGCTCCTTCATCAGAACTGATCAGCAGGCTGCTCTCAATCTCAGGATCCGTAAGCAACATAATCTGTACAGATAAAACAAAGGGGAACTGGAATTTGAAACAAGAAAAAGGTGTAACAAACATTCTGAAATGTGTAGAAAATCACTGTTGTGAAATATTATTTAAGTGGGATCCATATAGCTGTACATAGCTACCCAAATGTAGACAAAGCAAAGATGGTCTTCTAAATGGAAAGGGATAGAGTGGGGGTGTCAAACTCAATCCTATTGCAAGCCATATCAAGATAACTTTCTTCATCTGGCATTTCCTTTGATCATTATCACATTAAACACAAGACAAAAGAAGGAAAAGATTAGAGAATGTCATTCAAATCATAGCACATTCTCCAAAATTCACAAAAGGGATAAAAGCCTGAAGGTATCTTCAAGTACCAAAAAGTACAAAGCCTTTTCTAGCCGATTCTGAAAATTTTGGATCAGCACATGAGTTTCCAGTATGATATCAAGGCAAGCTCTACATATATTTTCAGTGATTCCTTTTGCTTTAATTTAAAGATGTAATTTAAATTGTATCACATTCTACTACTCCCCATATATTGGTCCCCTGTGATATCATTCTTTCCATAGGAACCTTTTCTTTCTCACAATAACCTCTGGAAAGCTATAAAGATTTGAAGTTTTTCCTTAAAGAAATAAATCAGAGTCTTTCATAGATATCCCACATAATAAGTACTGTACCCAGAACTCTTGAAATACAGAAATTCATATAAAACCTTCTACTTCCACTGTAGAAAGCAGACATCACATCTTCTTATCATTTTGTAGCAATTTATTATGACTATCCCTCATCTCTTGAGCTTTCATACTAAAGGAGGCTATATAAGTGTGATGGTGAACCTATGGCATGCGTGCCACAGGTGGCACAAAGAGCCTCTCTTTGGGTACACCAACCATTGCCCCAGCTCCGCTGTGCATGCACGCATGCCTCCCATTGGTCTTCGGGTCTCTGCTGTGCATGCGTGGGGATGGGGCCTTCCCCAATCTCTGAAGTTTCCCCCCGCCCCAGCATGCTCTATCTTTCTTCCCAAAGTGCACCCTAGCTTTTTCCTGTATTTCTGCTGCCTGTGCCTTCCCCAATCTCCGCAATTTCCACCCTCCACAGGTGCCTCTCCATGGCAGGTATGCAGAAGAAAGCTAGGGTGCACTGGGGGAAGAAACTGCAGAGATCAGAGAAGGCACCAGAGGCAGGAATGCAGGGGAAATCTAGGACATGCTAGGGAGAGAAACTGCAGAGATTGCAAGTCCCCATGCCCCGTTTTGGGCCTGAAAAGCGTCCTGCACCAATCTGGAAGCCAAAATCAGGGGGGCACATGTGCCGGGAACATGTGCGCATCTTCAGGGGCAGGGCACGTGCATGGGGGTGCTCGCAATGCATTTTGGGGATTGGGGGACGCGCACATGCATTGGTATGCATGCGTGCTTTGGGCACTCGGCACCAAAAAGGTTAACCATCACTGCTACATAAACAAAGTTAGACATAGTAGTCTCTGGATTTTGACTTTTCTGTCCAGTAGATGCCAGTCCCTTGGTTTTTCCTCTATGCTTGTTTTATTTTTTTTCTCTGTTATTTCAACACATCACTTTATACAAGATCCCAGAATCTGGATAAATAAATGCTAAAATTGGATTCTTTACTATAGTAGCAATACACATGGAAGACATAGAATATTATCCAAAGAACAGAAAAGAAATTTCTCAATGATAAGGAAACAACTCCTAATCAAAATGAATAACAAATTGTATTTTTTATGGTAAAAACTGTTATGGCACCAAAACCAAGTGACTGCCACTTCCAGGCTCTTCTGTTCTACACTCAAATAATAGTATTTTAGTTTTTGATCATAGGCAATTACTACAAGAAATTGTATGCCTATAAGAAAGTTGAATATATTGAAGGGTTTTCTTTAAAAAAAAAGGGGGGGACTATTTTGAAAAAAAAACAACCCTAAAAAAATCTGACTACAATCCACAGTCAGCTTCATAAAAGGCACATAGTTATTGGCATTACACTAAATAGATATATTTCAGCATAACATCATGTTGAATGCCATATCAACAGTGCCAAGATTCCATCCCTTCCCACCCAACCCCATGGATTGACAGATGGTTAGCTTCATTATTCAAAATAGCATTAAAATGAATATGTAATAGGTACCCCTTAATTTCATTTAATATTGCAATTAGCATATTAATTTATTTTATTCTCTCTGCACTGGGCATATACATATATGGATGTGCATGCACTACAGACATAGTTATTAAATGGAATAAATATTCTGGATTTGATGTTCTATTGGATAGAAATAATGTATATGCATAGTAATACATAATATTCTAAGTAGTTGGAACTGAAAGTCTCTTCAGCAGTTGTGATGTGAATTCAGATGTACCCATACTTAGATAAGTTCCAATGAAATGCAACATAGATTTCAGAATGATTATTCTAAATAAGCACAAATTTGAGAAACAAAACTTAGAAGTCTTTCTGAGTTGGATTCAGGCACGTTATTACAGTTATATAGTATATCAGAAACTCGTGGCATTTTTATGATTAATATTATTATGGCATCATTTTCACTGATTCCTAGTAACTTCACAAATACATGAAATAGGCAGATTATAAGCCCTGTTGTAAAGGAAGGGAGATAAATGTGGACAATAAAAATAACGGTGAATAAAATGCAAAATAAATGGATAACTAAAAGTTATTAATTTGATCTATATATAGTCATATTTAGACTAGACTGGATGTGGGTTAATCTCGAGCAACAAGGGCTGCAAAACAGCGCTAGGAATATACAACATTTTATTATGATACAAAAAGGTTTGTGGGAAGTTTTTTTTTTCCAATTCTGTTGTTGCTCTGGACCATACTTATTCAGAATGTCCCCACCTCATTTTTTGTTCTTTCTATTTTCATGATTCATTTGATCATAACATGTAATTATTATCAACCTATGGATCCCTGCTTTCGCACAAATCTATAACAAATTAAATTATGCCAATATATTTCTGATATACAGAACTTTTTCACTTTTTCCTTTTTAATTAAAACTGCACCTTCATCTGGCTGCATGTATGCATCTATCAATGTCATTCAATGACACTGGATCACTTTCATTTGGATCTATTACACCCTTGCTCTCTTGCTTAGTTTTACAACCATTCTGTCAGAACCAAGAAAGAAATGAGGAGTTACTTCTGAGTAGTTTCTTTTATTGTTCCTCTACTATAGACAGCAAAACAAAACCAACAATTTTGCCCAACTAAAGCAACTATTTGCATAACTACAGATATATTCTGAGAGTCACTGGGAGGGTCTGTTTTAACCTTCTTCCTCCTTAGTGCTCTCAGAGTATAACTGTAGTAATGCAAATAGTTGCTTTAGTTGGGAAAGCATTTTGGTTTGGTTTTGCTGCAGGTTCCATTCTGGGAATCCAGATTACATTCCACCATACATACAGCATACCTATTTCATTTATTCATTTCATTAAGGAATTCACTCTCCTGATTATTCATTCTTATTATATTCCAAGCACAAGCTTCCATGTACCATCAGATATTGATAGTGTATAAATATTGATAGAGAGCCAGAAACAAGGAGACCATGAGTTCTAGTGACTAGTCAGTCTTAGCACAGATCTTGGGCTTGTCCCTCTCTCTCTGAGCCCTATGAAGGAGGCAACAGCAAACCATCTGAAATATTTTCAAGAAAATTGCAGGGATTTATGTAGGCAGTCACCAGGAGTTAAGAAGGAGAAGGAGAAAGAGAAGGAATGGGAAGAGGAAAAAGAGGAGAAGGAGGGGGGAAAGGAAAGAAGTTAACATACTGTATGCTGTTCCTCAAACTTCTTTCTTTATGTTTTCACATAATGCAGTTTAATAATATAGAGAACAGTGGTGGGATTCAAATTATTTTACTACCGGTTCTGTGGGTGTGGCTTGGTGTGTGTGGTTAGGTGGGCATGGCCATGTGACTGGGTGGACGTGGCTTTTTTTTTTTTTTTTTGCTTTTTTGCAGCCATCCCCCCACCCATTTTGGGGGCCTTCTGGGCCTCAGAGGAGCCTTTGCGGGGGCCTTTTTGCTCCCAGAAGGCTCCTCTGGGGCTCCAGAAGAAAAAAAAATGGAACCTGGAGGGTGTGTGCAGCACCCCGTAGCTCTGTTTTGGGACCTTCCTGGAACCTCTGGGAAGGGGCGTTTTTGTTCCCAGAAGGTTCTCTGGGGCTCAGGAAGAAAAAAATGGAGGGGGGGACTGATCCCCTCCCTCAATTTTTTGCCTTCCTGGACCTCAGCAAGGGGAATCCCGACACAGCTGATCATATGAATAGCTGTTTGTCAGAAGGGGAAAAAAAAGAAATACCTTAAGGGGCAAGCGTCAGGCAGGTGGGGTAAGTAAGCATCGGGCAGGTGGGGCAAGCAAGCCAGCAGTGACCAGGTCAAGGACATGGCCAGTCAGAACTTACTACCGGTTCGGCGACCCATGCCAAATCCTTGCTACCAGTTTGCCTGATCTGGTGCGAACCGGCTGAATACCACCACTGATAGAGAAGCTGTCAATCAGGTTACTAGCCTTAGTTGCAGCTGAATGAATGTCACATTACTTAGTAACAGGAAAGACATTTATGTCAACTCAGTCAGTTTGACATATTTTGGTTAGGATGCCACGAGCACATTCATAGCCTAGCTTATCCATAGGCATTATGGTATTTGTTGCAAACGAAAATTTATAATATAGAGATTATACTGCAGGGTTGCAAGTTTTTTCTTACATCCAAATAGGACATATGTGCAGTGCATGGCACACAATGCATTTTAATAGTCCTATAATGAAGTCTATGGAACTAAATCACGAGTGGTCTTGGCTACCTGAGTAACCAACTTTCTATCATAAACTGAAATTCCATGTGCACGAAGACCAGATAAATGAGCAGAAACAAAGGCATGGAAAATATTTTATTATAATATTACAAATTATTAACTATCTGTCTATAATTTATAGAGAA